AAAGATTTTTGCGTTTTTTGGGTTACTGTAGCTCCAAAAGTACGCAAACACCGAAAAAAAGCTAGAGAGCTAAAAATTGGGGGTTTAGACTAATTCAATGGTGGGAAACTCGATTTTATCACTGAAATGCTTTGAAAAAGTTCACAGGAATGAGATTTTCGATGCGTTTCGAAAGATTACTGTAACTGACAATTACGCAGACTTGATGGTTTTTAAAAATTTGCAATTCTCAAAAAATCTGAGTCTAAACCCCGAAAACTATAGCTTTCTAGCTCAAGTTTGAAGATTTTTTAAATTTCTAAATTTTTCGGGTTACTGTAGCTCCAAATGTACGCAAACACCGAATTGTGAGCTAGAGAGCTGAAAATTGGAGTTTAGACTAATTCAAGGGTGGGAAACTCGATTTTGACACTGAAAATCTCTGAAATTTCACAGATCAGGGCCGCTGAACCCTTGGGATCCTCGGGATCCTTAGGATTCCTCATGATTTAATCCCACTCATTTTACAAGAACTTTCTGAAACTTCCAAGTTTCCAAATTTCCAACATTTTGGGATTTTTCTGCAAATTCTAAACATCGCGAATTCAAAAATTACCTGAAGCCGATCCTCAACACCAGTGAGACACAACAACTGCAAATCTCTCTCCAACATGCGATTCACCACATTCGCCATATTTTGACTACGATCCGAAATCGACATTTTCGCCGCGTGATACGCACGGTCGAACGCTTCCAACTCGGCTGGGGATAGCGGTTTTCGAGCGACGACCAGTGTCCGAAGACCCTCTCGTGCCATATTTGAGCATTCCTCGTCGAGCCAATCGTTGTACTGTACCATTCCACTCATCACAGTGTCCGCTCCTTTCATCAGAAGGGTTACCTGAGAAAAAAAGAAAACGCAATTTTAAGGTGGTGTTAAATTTGAGCCAATTTATCTGGGTTACTGTGAATGATATCAAAAAGTGATAAACTGATAAAATTTTTCCCAAATATTGATTAATATTTCATCAGTAGACCAATTTTTGATGTCTGTCCCAGGAACTGAGATAAATAGGCTCAAAATCAGGGGGCCTTGGGTCCATTTATACTGAAAAAAGAAACTATTTTTGTAAATTTTTAATTGTCCACTTTGAGCCAATTTATCTCAGCTCTTATCAGAGATATCAAAAAGTGGTCAACTGATAAAATGTTTATCACATTATCAGCAATATTTTATCAGTTGGCACATTTTTGATATCTCTAATAGTAACCGAGATAAATAGGCTCAAAATTAGAAGACCTTGGGTCAATTTATACTGCAAAAAGAAACTATTTTTGTAATTTTCTAATTGTCCACTTTGAGCCAATTTATCTGGATTACTGTGAGAGATATCAAAAAGCGGTCAACTGATAAAATTTTAAAAAGCGGTCCACTGATAAACTGATAAAATTTTTATCATTTTATCAGAAACATTTTATCAGTTGAGCATTTTTTGGTAGCTGTCCCAGGAACCTAGATAAACTGGAAAGTTGGGGGACCATTTTCGGAATTTTCAGAAATTCTAAAAATGGTCTCATAGCAGGAAGCCCCGCCCTCCAACTTTGAGCCAATTTATCTCGGCTACCGTAAGAGGTATCAAAAAGTGGTCAACTGATAAAATGTTGCTGATAAAGTGATATATAATTTATCAGTTGACAACTCTCTGATATCATTCACAGGAACTGAGATAACTTGGGTGTCAAAGTTAGAAGACTTTCTGAACCATTGCTATGGAGCCATCGGGATCCTTTTTGGGACTATTTTGGGACCATTTTCGTGCTAATTTCCAGCTTTTTCCTGGTTTTCCAATTCCCCCCAAATCCCATTAAACCCTATGGAATGGATTCCTACCTCATCAGTCGTCTCGTCCTTCACAATAATTCCCATTCGTTTTGTTTCCGATGTGAATGGGAAGACGTGGAGAATTTGGAAATTCTTGGTTAGTGTCTGTCCGCCTGGTAGTTGAACGCTGAGTGTCATCGCGTGAAGATCACGGCTGGCCAGACGAACGCCAACGGTTTCGGTCCATTTCACAAGGGCGACCTGAAAATTTTTAAAGTTTTTGGGCTGTTTCAGACGAGTTTTGAGGTAGTTTAGGTCGATTTTTCAGCTATTTTAGAATCATTTCCAATCATTTTCAGCCAATTTTTCGAGAAGTTTCAGAGCTGGCTTTTTTTTTCTAGGGCTGATTCTGGGGCAAGGTACTAGCTACAGTACCCCAAAAAGAACTACAGTAATCCCGGAAAATAGCTACAGTAGACTCTTGAACTACAATAACCGCAGAAACTACAGTAACCTCGAAAACAACTACAGTAATCCCTCGAACTACAGTAACGTCCGAAAAATCTACACTTATCCCGAAAATGCTACAGTAACCTCAAGAAAATCTATAGTAATCCTTTGAACTAAAGTACCCCCAAAAAATGGTACAGTAATCCGTTGTACTACAGTAACCTCCAAAAAAGCAGCTATAGTAACGATCGATAGAGCTACAGTAACCCCGGAAAAGCTACAATTATCATTTCAGGCCAATTTCAGACCGATTTTCAGCTAATTTTAGGCACTTTCAAGTGATTTTCAGCCTAATCTCAATTCGTACAGTTTTTGCATTACAGTAATCCCAAAAAAGCTACAGTAATCTCCTGAATAATATACAGTAATCTTTTGAACTACAATAACCCCGAACAAGCTAGCTACGAAGATCCCTTGAATTACAGTAACCCTGTAAAAGCTACAGTAACCCCGAACAAGCTACAAAGATTACTTGAACAACAGTAATCCCGAAAAATCTACACATATCCCGTAAAAGCTACAGTAATCTTAAGAAAATTTATATTAATCCTTTGAACTACAGTGACCCTGGAAGATCTACAATAATCCCCGAAAATGCAAAAAAAATCGTCCTAGATGTATTTTAGGCGGTTTCAGACGAATTCTAGGTCATTTCAGACCTATTTTAAGCCAATTTCAGCTAATTTCAGACGATTTTACCTCATCCGGGCTCGCCGCCTGATACGACGTTTCTCCATTCTCAAATATCGGTGTAACGTTATGACACAAAGCGATCGCTTCCACGGCGTTTTGTAGTTTCGCCGCGAATGAGTGTCTGGAAAGAAAGGGATTACTGTAGCTTTGATGGGTTACTGTAGCTCTCTCACTTGGCCATTCTACCAGCATATCCACTCTTCACATGTTGTGCCACCTCTTCAAACGCGTCCGAATTGAACGCGACGGTTCCCAAGTGAATCTTCTTGAAGTGCATCTCATTCTTCGTCAGTGTTCCCGTCTTGTCCGATAGCAAGAACGAGATTCTGCCCAGTTCTTCGGGAATCGTCGACGAGCGGATTACGGTATCCGGTATGTGCTTGTCGCGGCCGATTTGCCACGAATAGAACAGTTTGGCCATGTCCAGGTTGACACGGAGCGAGATTGGGATGATGTAGGAGAAGAGGAGGATGAAGCGCATCAGGTAGCGATACCAGAGGTTGTCGAGGCCTGGAAGAGAAAATGTTGGAGTTTTCTAGGCCACGATCTAGGCCGCTAACTTTGACCTGTTTTAACTTCCGAAAAGCCGAAAAATGGTATTTTATTTTAACTTCATTTATCTCAGTATAAATTTGATTTTGACAACTTTGACCTATTTTATTTAACTGCCGAAAAACGGAAAAAGGACCCTCATATTTTTGACCAGATTTATCTCGGCTCCTCTCAGAGATGTCAAAAAGTGCTCAACTGATAAAATGTTTATCATAATATCAGTAACATTTTATCAGTTGAAAACTTTTTGGTATCTTTAACAGGAACTGAGATAAATTAGGATAAACTTGGGACGTCCGTTTTTTCGACTTTTTTGGCTCCAAAAGCGATTCTAGGTCACGGTCATTTGGACAACTTTCGACCTTATTTAACTGCCAGAAAGCGGATAAAATGGTCCTCAATTTCGACCTGATTTATCTCGGCTCCTATCAGAGATATCAGAAATTGCTCAACTGATAAAATATTTATCATAATATCAGTAACATTTTGTTAGTTGAAAACTTTTTGATATCTGTCATAGGGACCGAGATAAATTGGCTCAAAGTTGAGGGTCCTTGGTGGCCTAGAATCCAAGATAAATTCCAAAAACTAGGCCATGATGTACCTAGTCTTAAAGAACGGGATTCGACAGTTTTGATTAAATGTTTAGATTTCCAAAATTTTGATTTTGAAGCGAGTTATATCAATTTTAGTGGGATGGCCTAGGAACCCAAAACTCGGCCATAACCCGCTTCAAAATCAATATTTTCAAAATCTGAAAGCTGATTCGGAACTATCAAATTCGGTACTTTGAAACTATATAGACACCACTGCCTAGTTTTTCCAAATTTCGGATTTCTAGGCCTTTCGAAGCCAAGTTCCAAACTTATCTCGACTTCCATCAGAGATATCAAAAAGCGCTCAACTGATAAAATGCTCATCATATTATCAGGAGCATTTTATCATTTGTCCACTTTTGATATCTCTTACAGTAACCCAGATAAATTGCCTCAAAGTTAGGGGACCCATTTTCTAGCTTATTTTTCTCGTTTTCAAAGGTTTTCGGCTTTATATTAGACCATTTTTATAGGAATTTTTCAGCGAATTTCTGCTCATTTTTGACCATTTTTTACAGATTTTTTCAGCGAATTTCGGCTCATTTTTGACCATTTTTTTCAGATTTTCTCAGCGAATTTCGGCTCATTTTGAACCATTTTTTACAGAATTTTCAGCACATTTTTCGGTTCAAAAACCACCTCACCTTTCATGACAACCATGACTGAGGAGAGCATCAACACAAAGATAAACAAGAGTTTCGTCAAATTGTTCACTTCCAAATCGAGCAGTCCAACCTTGCTCTCCGGCAGTGTTGTATTCATCACAGAACGCGTTTCACGTCCAGTGTAGACGACGATTCCGACGGCGGTTCCCGATGCGACTACCGTATTCGCCCAGAGTACATTCTCAACGTTCAGCGAGCCATCTTGGACACTATCGTCGACGGTGATCTGCATAAAATTCAAGGTTTCTGGTTTCCATAGATATGAGAATTTTGAAAAATCCACAAGTTACAATTTTTAGACTCTTCAAAGTTTTAGATTCTGAAATTGGAATGGCCCTCACACTGCCCGTTTTGACCTAAATTATCTCGGTTACTATTAGAGATATCAAAAGTGTGTCAACTGATAAAATATTGCTGATAATGTGATAAACATTTTATCAGTTGACAACTTTTTGATATCTCTGATAGGAACTGAGATAAATTGGCTCAAAAATCAAAGTTAGGGGGCCCTTCTATTACAGGTTTTCAGGTATTTTAGGAAAAGTTTTTTTTTCCAAATTTTTGGAATGTTGGATGTTCTGGAATTCTTCGATTTCTAGATTCCAAAATTCTACAAATCTGAAAATTTCGATTTTTCTTAAAAATCCTCACCTTCAACGTTCCCACAAACGCATGAATATCCTTTTGTGGCTTCTCCGCATAGACCTCACAATTCAACTCCATAATATCAGCTTCGTTAGGCAAGTGCTGGGTGTACGGTACCGGTATCCGCAGCTTCCAATCCGTCTCACCGTCGAGTTGGTCCGTTCGAATGAAGCATGCGCCCGACTTGTCCGTTGTTCGCAGCAGCACGACGTCGGCAGGCACACGACGGTCTTTGTGCATTATGATGACGTCACCGACCTGGAAAATGATAATTTTGAAGGGATTGGAATTCTAAAAAAGGCCATTTGACTATGAAAAATGTTTTTCGAGGGGAAAAGTCATATAACGGACCTAAAAATGCCAAAAATGGGCCCAAATTGAGCTAAAAACCGGTCCAAAACGGACCATACTCTATTTCCTTCTAGGTTCAACATTTCGGAACCATCTAAATTAGATATGATAGAAAAACTCAAGACTACAAAATGATACTAATTGGATTACTGTACCTTGTCTATGAACACAGTTACAAAGAGTCAAGAATATCGACCGCATAGCTCAGTCGGTTTTTGACCCTATAACTTTGTAGCTCTTGAGTTCTTCTATCATATCCAATTTAGTTGGTTTCAAAAATTTTGATTCTAGGAGAAATTATGACAGTGACCGTTTTTGATATATTTTTAGCGCATTTTTAGCCTATTTTTGCTCGTTTCTGGCTTATTTTTAGCTCGATTTCGGCCCATTTTTAGCCCATTTCATACCATTTTCAGCCCGGACCTACCTCAATATCAGCACTTCTTACTTCCACCCTTGTCCCATCACGCGTCAGCTTCTCGTATTTCTCCGAATTCAAGTCTCGATCTCTCAGATAGCGAACGAAATCGTCAAACGCTTCTCGAATCAGCGTTATCGTCAAAACGAATCCCAACGGACCCCAATAGGTGATCGGGGCGCCGATTTGAATGGCCGGGATGAATTGAGAGCATGCCATGAGGAGAAAATAGAGGTTGAGGAAGAATTTGAATTGTTGGAACAGGACGATCGGCACGAAACTGAAGATGTTGTACTTCTGATTGCACACCGTGTTCGGCGAGAACGTCACGTTGGCGTCGTGGCCAACGGGACCGTAGCCGACGCGGACGGTTCGCGAGCGGAGGATGCGACGGCGGGAGAAGAGAGAACGACAGCATCTGCAAGAAGACATTTGCTCTTTATTGGATTTTGGGGAATTTTAGAATCTCAGAATCATCTAAGAATCTAAGAATCTAAGAATCTAAGAATCTAAGAATCTAAGAATCTAAGAATCTAAGAATCTAAGAATCTAAGAATCTAAGAATCTAAGAATCTAAGAATCTAAGAATCTAAGAATCTAAGAATCTAAGAATCTAAGAATCTGAGAATCCAAGAATCTGGAATCGTTCTGGAATGATTCTGGGATTCTAGGAGATTTCAAGTTTTTCAGATTCTCACTTCTGGATCAATTCCGAGAATCCTGGATTTTCAGAATTCCTTAGGATTCTCAGATTTCCCGATTCCGATATTCTGAATCCTAGAGTCTGGAAATATGAAATCCCTAGATTCTGCATTTCTGCGAATTTCAGGAATTTCGAAAATCCCAAAATCCCAGAATTTCGATTTTCAGAAAATTTCGAATTCTATAGATTCTGAGATTTCCAAATTTTCAGATATTAGAATTGTCTATGACGTTGAAATTCTGGTATTCTGGAACCAAAATCATATTTTTACTTTTCTGATTTTTTTGATTTTTCCGGATTCTGAAAATCAGAATTTTCAGCATTTCCCAAAAAAACCCACTTTCGAAATTTGGATTTCGGTCGCAAATTCAGTTCTTTATTGATGAATACCGTATTTGTTTGGCAGTCAAAACCAATCATTTTTTGTCAATTTTTTTTCGGTTTTCAGTGAATTTCATAGAGAAAAAATTGTGGAAAAAAGAGAAACAAAAACGAACCGTTGTATATTTTTATCGATATTTTCTCTGCTTTTTTCCCAGCACATTTAAAATGGAAATGGGCAAAAAAGAGGGAAAGACGGAGAGGCGCAGATGGGTTTGCCTATGATTTTTGTTTTTATTTTAACCAGAATACCGCAAAACCTGTATTAGAAGGGCCCCTCTAATAGAAGGGCCCCCGAGAAGGGCTTGGAACAATAGAAGGGCCGGCCCTTCTAATACAGGTTTTACGGTGATCCAGAATACGAATCTAAGAATCCTAAAAATCTAAGAATCTTAGAACCTGAAAATTTCAGAATTTCCGAATCCAAAAATCTAGGAATTTCAGGATTCTTAGAATTTTCGCAATTTGAGAAATTCAGATTTTCAGATTCTACAATCCAGGAATCTAGAAATTTCAGGATATTCAAAAATTCTAGATTTTTACCAGAGATTTAGAAACTTCCAGAATTTCCTGAAATCTCGAAAATCTGAAACCTTCAGAATCATCAGAATTTCGGAATTCAACGATTTTTAAATCTAAGAATCTAAGAATCTAAGAATCTAAGAATCTAAGAATCTAAGAATCTAAGAATCTAAGAATCTAAGAATCTAAGAATCTAAGAATCTAAGAATCTAAGAATCTAAGAATCTAAGAATCTAAGAATCTAAGAATCTAAGAATTTATAAACCCAGGAATCCGGTAATCTAGAAATCTAGAAATCTAGGATATTCTGAATTTCGGGATTCTCCGGATTTCTAGAATTTGGAATTTTTAGATTTTGTTAAATTTTGGATCAGACATTCAATTCCATTGCTCATCCCTAAATCCATCCTCAGTGTTACTCACAACATGCCACCCTTGGCGGCAGACGCCGCCGAGAAATGCGTCGCATTCGACTTCAACGACGCCGTCTTATCTCGAATCGTCGTCGCCACGTCATCCTCTTCAGACTTTACAAATGAGACCGAGTAGTCGTCAGATGTGGATGGCTTCTGAGAACAAGACGACGACGACGACGGTGCGTCACCGTCGTTCTTTCTCTTCTTTCCCATTGGGACACAACGAATCAGTCAACCATTTAGGTTGCTTTTAGATGATGGAAAATTCTAGAGGAATCTTTTTTCGCAGAGTCGCTGAAAGAGGTTTCCTTTGGAAATTCGAGAGCGGCGGAAAGATTTTTAGCGGACGAAGAGAAGAGAAAAAAAAATATGTTTCTGAAGAATCTAACTACAGTAATCCTGTCAAAAATTGGCACCTACAGTACTAGTCAATAACATATACAAAAACGTATTTTTTTCAGTTGATTTTCGGCCATTTCGACCATTTTTGTAACTTTTAAAAAATTCGTCTGCAAATGATTTCTTAAATTATAAAATAGACAAAATAACCTATATTTCTGTCTAAAAATCACATTTCTAGCACTTCTAGGCACCGAGATATAGCCACTCCGCGTTCGGGAGGCTAGAGACGCAGACGACGAGACACGCTGCGTCTCTAACCTCGGAAACTTCAAATGACCGTATGTTCTAGACGAGCTAGGAAATTGGTTTCTGGACAGAATTGCATAATTTGGAATGGGTTTTCAGATTATTTATAAATTCTTGATTGAAAAATGTACAGTGCCGGTCAATATTAAATATATAAAAACGCATTTTTCAGCTGGTTTTCGACTATTTTCAAGAGTCTGGCGCTCGTCTTTCGAGTTTCCAATCACTTTGAAATCCTTGGAGGGTCTAAAACATACCTAGATTGAAAACGTTGCATTTATAGAGTTTTCGAAATTTTCTAGTTTTTCAGCTATTTGCCGATACCCCTTTATGGTTATTTTCAGTACAAAAACGGACCCAAAACAGGCGTCAGCTAATAGTTGAAAAGCTAAAAATTTTCAAAAACTCTATAAATGCAACGTTTTCAATCTAGGTATGTTTTAGACCCTCCAAGGATTTCAAAGTGATTGGAAACTTGAAAGACGAGCGCCAGACTCTTGAAAATAGTCGAAAACCAGCTGAAAAATGCGTTTTTATATATTTAATATTGATCGGCACTGTACATTTTCCGATCAAGAATTTATAAATAATCTGAAAACCCATTCCAAATTATGCAATTCTGTCCAGAAACCAATTTCCTAGCTCGTCTAGAACTCGAGATACGGTCATTTGAAGTTTCCGAGGCTAGAGATGCAGCGTTTCTCGTCGTCTGCGTCTCTAGCCTCCTGAACTTGGAGTGGCTATATCTCGGTGCCTAGAAGTGCTAGAAATGTGATTTTTAGACAGAAATGTAATTTTTCAAAAGTTACAAAAATGGGTCGAAATGGCCGAAAACCAATTGAAAAATACGTTTTTGTATATATATATATATTATGTTGGCTGGTACTGTAGATGACAATTTTCAGACAGGAGGATTACTGTATTTATGGAATCTTGAGTGAAATTCAACAAAGTAGGGAATAGATAGGGAGAAGGAAGAGAAGGTAAACATGGGGAAAAAAAGGGAAAACTTATATATATATATATATAGGTCTATGTGTGTTTTGATTCATCCCGAAACGGTCCTAGACACGGATTTCGGGGCTTATTTGATCCATATTTATTCAAAAATCGAAATGGGGCGAAAATTATCATGATACTGGCTAAAAATCGGCGGCATTTTTTCCTATGAAAATGGTGCTAAAATTAGGCCATTTTTGGTTTTAAAAATGGCGAAATTAGACCTAAAAATGAGTTTTTTCTTCATTTTTTGAATCATCGATTCATCAAAAACGTGGTGTTGGTCAAAAAAAATGGAGAGAGAGAGAGAAGGAAAAGAATTTGGGAAGAATATAAAGCGATGTGGACAGTAGGTGGTGGTGTCTATAATCCGTCGGGTTCTTCTTCTTCTTCTTCTTCTTTTAGTAGCAATGAGAGAGAGAGAGAGAGTACAGGAAATCGAGAGAATTAGAGAAAAAAAAGAAGAATGGAGGGTTTTGATCACTAAATAGTACCAAACTACTGCTTTTTTCAAAGTCAAAAAAAGACAAACAAAACGGAAAAATGACATTTTTTGGCAGCGAAAAATATGCAAAAATAGATCAAAATGTGCCCAAAAAAACTAGCAATCTGCCAATTTGAATTCAGGTTCAGAAGACGTCAGAAAATGATTCAGAATAAACCCGAAGTTCTGAAGAATCGGAAGAAGAAGAATGAAAATGGAAGGCGCGCCCAGAAAGAGAGAGAGAGAGAGAGAGAGAGAGAGAGGAAGAGAGAGAGAGAGAGGGTTAGAAAAGGGGTAAAAAGAATATGAATGGCAGGTGTTCCTCGAGGAAAATGGGGAAAAAAAGGAAAATGTACCCAGGAGGGCCGTTTGGGGGGCAGCTGGTGGTACAATAAAGGAAAGGCTGAGCTATCGAATAGGAATAGGGACAGCTGGTAGTATTGGGAGTAAGGCTTCCATTTCGGTCGGTCGAAAATCGCCGACCGCCGACCGACCACCGCCCAACCGACCGAGCTGACCGATCGGTCGGCACGCCAACCGATTTCGTGCCTTTGCGCATCAAAATCCGAGTTTTTGCGTACGAAGTACCTTATTTTACGACAAATGAGGCATTTATTGAGTAGTTTGTCGTAAAATACAATGCAGCGTATGCAAACACGTTGACGCGCAAATGCACGAAAGCAGTTGACGCTCCGACCGATCGGTCAACTCGGTCGGCTGTCGGTCGGCGGGGTCGGTCGGCTAAATTTCCCGACCGAATGGAAGCCTTAATTGGGAGAAATGGAGAGCAATTTCCTAGAAAACTGCCGAAAATAAGGGATAAAGGCCTTAAGAAGGGCGCTGGCTACACAGATCTATAAATCCAAGGGTCTATAAATCATAGATCCTAAATCATTTAGATCTATTGATCTTAGGGTCCATAGGTCCTAGATCCATTGGGTCTATAGACCCTAGATCATTTAGGTTCATTGGTCCTGGAGTCTAAACACCCTAGATGTTCTCCAGATCCTAGATCCTTTAGGTCCAAAGATCCTAGATCTTCTAGGTTCATAGATCCCAAATCCTTTGGGTCCATAGATCCTAGATCCTTTAGTCCCTAGGCCCTATACCCTAGATCCTTTGAATTAATAGAACCTAGATCCTTAGGGTTCATAGATCCTAGATTTTCTAGGTCCATAGATCGTAGGCCTTGGATCCATAGATCCCAGATCCTTTAGTTCCATAGATTCTAGGGACCATAGATCCTAGATCTTAGATTCTAGGGTTCATAGATCCCAGATCCTTTTGGTTCATAGATCCTAGATCTTCTAGGTCCATAAATCCTAGAACCTAAGTGGTTCTTTAGGACCATGGATCCTTTAGGTCCATAGATCTTAGATCCTCAGGATCTATGGATCATAAGGTCCATAGATCCAATATCCAGAATTTAGATCATTAATTACAAAAGAGGACTCAAACGGAATGGTCACTTCATTCCATTCAGTTCGTGAGAGAGAGAGAATTGAACAAATATAAATATCCGCAAAACTGATGGAGGCGCACTCTCCATCATACGAGAAGAGAGAGAGAGAGAGAGAGAGAGAGAGAGAGAGAGAGAGGTGTGTATTTGCGCGCTCTTTCGATTGCTCTCACTTCTTTTGATGGAAAATGGGAGAGAAAAGAGAGCTCGCCACCTCCCAAAAAGGACAAGTGGATGTACGGTATTTTGGAATTTGGAACTTGAAGTTTCGAGAATTATCGTGAATGCTCATTTTTCACTTTCAGCTAAATTATCTCGACATCCATAAGAGATATCAAAAATCGGTCAACTGATAAAATTTTAACAATAATGTCTGTAACAGTTTATCAGTTGACAGATTTCTGATATCTCTAACGGAAATTGAGACAAGGCTCAGCCGGATTTTCGGCAGAATATTGCTCCAGGGACAAATTTTTTGTCCGCGTTTGGTCGGCTGGTCCAATCTAGTTAGTTGCGAAACGTCGTAGTTGCGAAACGAGATGTCATTGAGCCTGGAGGTAGCCTACAGTAGTCTGTAGTCTACAAGATCAAAATTAGAGCGATTTGGAAAACTAGAAGAAAGTTCGAGAACATTCCAGAATGACTCAATCATCTGACCTCCTTTTAATTTTAATCAGTGACTGATTATCAGTCATCTAACCTAGATGATCAATTAACGCCGTCGGAAACTGTGAGTCACAGAATCACCCTGTCAGGATTCCACTGGAACAGTTCTAGGCTGGAACTTCCAGGATCTTCCAGGTAGATCAAACCCCTGTCCAAACTTCCTAGACAAAGGGAAAAGGTTCTAGATTCTAGATTTTGCTACCCCTTAATTGCATGCCTTAATTCAAGCCAGTTCGTGCTAATGATCTTAAATCGGTCAACGGATCGCAAGTCTATATACCAGATTTAGAATTAATGAAAATTCGCTTTCAGACCATGCTTTTGGACCATGTGAATCTGTTCACTAGGAGGACTACTGTAGGATCCAAGGTCCACATAGCTGGAAATTCGCTTTCAGGCGGACTCTATAGCTAGCTAAAAGCAGACACGAACTGCAGGATTAAAGCTCTCTGACTTCGAACTTATTGGGAATTTTGATTTCCATACACATATATATTCATACATACCCATTCGTGGGGATGCAACCTATTACACAGAGATGGAAAAAGGAAAAAGGGAACGAGAAGAACGACAAAAAAGCAATCAAATGCATATAGCATATAGCATATATATATATAAATGGCATTTAGGATGACAAATTCCAATGTATACAAATTGATAGGGGAAAACGGAAATGACTTGACTTTATGGGTCATTTTATAACCTTTGACATCAAGAATCATACTTTTTTGGACTATTTTGGGTGGAAATCAGCCAACAACGGTTCCCAGCGTGCCCCAGGTTCAACATTTTCGGACCAACTAAATTGGACATGATCAAAAAACTCAAGAGCTACAAAATGACACTTTTCGGGNTACTGTATCTTGCCTATGAGCAAAGTTATAGGCCAAAAACCGACTGAGCTATGTGGTCGATATTTTTGGCTCTTTGTAACTTTGCTCATAGGCAAGATACAGTATTCCAATTAGTACCATTTTGTATTTTTTGAGTTTTTCTATCATATCCAGTGAGTAGGTTTTGAAATATCGATCCTGAAAGAAACAAAGTCAGGGTCACAATTTCGATTCTGATTCGATTTTCCGCAATTTCAGAATTCAAAATCCCTCATGGACCAATTCATCAGGATCAAAAATTCCTGCATTTTACGTCCAAAATGACTAAATATTGTTAAAAAACGCCAGAAAACATCTCTGGACCAATTCAGAATCAAAAAACGCCACTTTCAGATCCAAAATTTCCATCTGAAACACTTTTTAGGGTAGTGGACCAGTTTTCCCTTCAAAATTGTCCCAAAATCGTTCAACAAACTTCGAAAAAACGAGAGTAGCACTATCTCTCTCCAAATTAATACGATCGAGGGAGAAGAGAACAACAGTCGAGTTAGTTCAGACGTCTTCATTGGTGTGAGAGAGAGAGAGAGAGAGAGAGAGAGAGAGAGAGGCCAAATGTTTTTGCGAAGTAGAGAAGAAGAATCGAATGGCGTCGTGTTGTGTGTGTGTGTTTGTGTTTGACACATCTTCTTCTCCTCTCTCTCTCCCTCCCAAACGATCGGTGATCCTTTCTCCATGATGCTGTCCCTGTCCGTGTGTTTCGCAAATTAACTGTTACAACTACTACTGCCTACTGAATGTCAACGGGTCTGTGTTTCGGACGGTAGACACAGGAGAAGGCAGGACAATTGGCTTATAGGAACTACTACTACTACTAGAGTAGCAGTAGCTATATATATATATATATGCAAATTCTACATAATATTATGATCAGTTTAGATTTTTATGAGGCAGGTATTCCAGCTTTTCAGACAGATTTCAAGGGTACTAAAGCTTTAAAACAGCTAAAATAGCTTAACGAAAAAGATTATAGCCAAAACATTGCCAAGGTCAGATTCCCGAAGGATTTCACCGTTTTTAGAGGTCCGTTTTCAGCGGCGAAAAAAAGTGCCTTTTTCAGGTTGAAATCAACTTTTTTAGAATCCAAAATAGCTCTGAATCTCGAAAAATCGCTGAGCAAAATTCTGAGCAATTTTCCAAATTTCTGAGCTCTAGAAACAAGCTCTGTGGCTCATAAATAATCGAAAAATCATATTTTAAGCAATTCTGGAATCACGAGACGTCTTCAATCCTGTCTTCAATTTCTAGAGTCATTATTTACAGATGTTTTCAGGCTGAAAAAGCTTCAGCCTGTGGTAAACACTTGACTCTTGGTTTCCTGGAGACGACGTCAAGTTTGGAGAAGAAGAAGAAGAAGAAGGCTGAGCAATGAAACGGAGAAGGCGGAAGAGGGAAGGCACACGCTGGTTGTCAAGGAGAAAGAACAGAATAACAGAGAAAAAAAAGAAGAGAAAAAGACGGGAAATTCTCCCAGAAGGCTTTCCAAGCTCGTTAGCAAAAGTTCAACATTCGCAGAATCTAATTTCTTTCATAATTTCAAATATTCATGATTCTAAAAATTGGTGAAAATATGGTTGGAATGAATTCATTCAAAAAAATGTGTCAAAGTTTATGAATGGGAAGAGTCAATTTAGCCCATTCAATAGGCCCTAAAAATTGAAAATTTTCCAGTTTTGTAGCCAAAAAAAGTCTTGGTATTCAGAGGATTTTTGGGAGAGTTTCGTTCATTTTTGAACCATTTCTAGCGATTTTTCGGTCGATTTCAACGCTCCGGGACGTTTCAGAACCCGACGTTTCGGAACTTTTCTGCATTCTTGTATAGTGGTTTCTGCACACCAAATAAGCATTGCTCATTTCAATTTTGTGTGTTTTTTTGCGTTTTCATTCGTTTTAATCTACCGTACTCCAAATAATGGTTTATACTCGGAATCTCTCAAAAAATCGAAAAAAAAACATTGAAATTTTCAAAAGCGATGTCTAGAAGTACGCAAAGATAAGACTCATATTCGCCCCGGTACTTCTAGACATCGTTTTGGAGAAATTCAATTTTTTTTAAATCAATTTTTTGAGAGTTTCCGAGTGTAAACCATTTTTTGGAGTACGGTAGATTAAAACGAATATTAACGCAGAAAAGCACACAAAATTGAAATGAGCAATGCTTATTTGGTGTGCAGAAACCACTATACAAGAATGCAGAAAAGTTCCGAAACGTCGGGTTCTGAAACGTCCCCCGGAGCGTTGAAATCGACCGAAAAATCGCTAGAAATGGTTCAAAAATGAACGAAACTCTCCCAAAAATCCTCTGAATACCAAGACTTTTTTTGGCTACAAAACTGGAAAATTTTCAATTTTTAGGGCCTATTGAATGGGCTAAATTGACTCTTCCCATTCATAAACTTTGACACATTTTTTTGAATGAAAATGTTTTCAATTCACAGATTTCAATGTTTTTTGATTGGGATTTTTGTAAATTTGAACGAAATTTTGCAGTGTATTTTTCTGTTTTTTTTCCCGGTACTTTAAAAACTTTCAAGTGTTTTTCCATAAAATTTTTTTTTTGCAACTACAAATTTCAGTCTGAAACTGGGGAATCCACTAACCGTGTCATGCTGAACGTGGACGAGGACGTCGATGAGACGGAGGGCAGCAGATAGACGTCGTCCGATCCCTCGATGCCAATCTAGAGAAAATTGAAACTCTAGAGAAAATTGTTTGAAACTTTTGCCAAAAAAAATTCAAAAAAAATTCAAAAAATGATGTCAAAACTCAATTTTTTTCACTACAAAACAGAAAAAGTAGATCAAAATTTGCCAATTTTCGATTTTTAAAAAAAATTCGAAAAATCAAAATTTTCGATCGAAAATCCCCAATTTTAGCTCTTTTCTCGCTAAAATCTTCAAATTTCCAGATTTTTCCCCATCATTTTTTCCTTAATCACCTCAGAATCAGGCATTGGTAGAAGACGTGAATACTCGTCGGCTTCTTCGTGGCTCGATGCCAGCCGACTATAACGCATACAACTGTTTGTTTTACCCAAAAAAGATCAACTTTTTCTGAAAAATACGGTAATTAATCGAAAATCGCTAATTAGGAGGGGTAATTAGATAGCAATTAGGTCAAAAAACCAGCGAAACAAATCGGGGAAAATCAAAGAAACACAGAAAAAAACTTTATAAAAAATTGCGAAAATTCTGGAGGTGAAATGTCGAAAAAATAAAAATTTGGCACCGAAAAACAAAGTGAAATGTACCACGAGAGAGGGGGACAATTTGTATACATATACTCGTTTTTATACACGAAATCAGTGGGGAAAAGGGGAAAATTTAAAAATTTTGGATTTTGTCAAAAATTCAAAAAATCGAAAATTTCAAAAAATTTCGAATTTTCGATTTTTCAAAAGTCCACAACTTCCGAAAATTTGAATTTCGGCTATTTTCAAAAATTCGAAAATTTGGAAATTTTTGAATTTGAAAAAATTTGATTTTTTAAATTCAAAATTTTCAAAAATTTCGAATTTTCGATTTTTCAAAAATTCAAAAATTTCAAATTTTCGATTTTTTCAAAAACTCAAAAATTTTGGATATTTTGAATTTAAAAAATTTTTGATTTCTTAAAATACAAAATTTTGAAAAATTTCGAATTTTCAATTTTTTTCAAAAATTTCGAATTTTCAATTTTTTTTCAAAAATTTCGAATTTTCAATTTTTTCGAAAATTCAAAATATTGGCAAAAATTTCAGTTGAACTGGATGTACAGAAAATGGAAAAAAATGGGGGAAAATGGTGCAAAAATGTGTACTAAACTGTGTAAAAATGACAAGAATAAATGGTATAAAAAGTGAGGAAATTTCGAAAAATCCAAAAATTCTCAAATCAATTTAATGATCAAAACGCCGAAGACTCCGCCCATCATCGCCGCGGTCACTCCGATCAGCGAGATGATACTTCCAGCCAATTCGCGGCTTTCCTTTTCGATGGACCTGAAAAATTATTTTTCCAAAAATATTTTTTTTTTGATTTCGAAAATGTGAAAAAATGGCTAAGAATGGCCTAAGTTATGAGCTTTTAAAGCTATTTACGTTGATGGCCTAACTTTTTCAACATTAATTTTCTAGGCCACCATGTTAAAATCGCTTAGAAAACCCACAAGATAATAATCAAGTAATTTCTAGGCCATATAAGTTGGTGGCCTAGAAAATTCAAAAGTTAGGCCACGATGTCAAACCGTCTACAAAACTCGCCAGATGAATATCCGGCTCTTTCTAGGCCATCAGCTATGGTGGCCTAGAAAATTCAAAAATGCGAAAGTTAGGCCACCAAGGTAAAATAGCCCAGGAATGTTGCCAGATAAATAACAGGCAATTTTTGGCCATAAACTTGGTGGCCTAGAAAATTAAAAGTTAGACCACGAAGTTAAAATGGCCTAGAAAACACATTTGCGGTCATTTCTAGGCCACAAAAATTGGTGGCCTAGAAACTTCAAAAGTTAGGCCACCATGGTAAAATGGCTCTAAATCGTCGAAATTTCGCTGTAAAACCCCGGGAGGAAAAGCTCACATCGTGGCTCCAATCGTCGCATTCGTAATACAGAATCCGTGTGAAATCGATAGGAGAATGACCAGAAGGATGAATACACCATCATATGGGATCATGGCATGAGTATGGGCTCTCGGTGCCACGTTGCACATTGCAATCATTGGAATCAGAAGGAATCGAAGAAATGCGATGCAGAGGAGATATTTTCGGGGCTGAAAAAGTTGGAAAAATAGCTGTAAAGTCGCTCAAAATCAATTTTTTAGGATAAAAATGATGCTAAAATCTGTGAAACAAGCCAAAAAAAATCTAATATTTTTAGCAAAAATTAGTGTTTTCCAGGCCATTCTCAGCCGATTTTTCACAGATTTTTGTACTGTTTTAAGCTAATTTTAGGCGCCGAAAACCTTCAAAATTACTCACCAATCGAAGCGAATTCGCGCTGGATCGACCGATCAAATCACCACAATTGTAGAGGAGAAACGAGGCGACCGCAGAGAAGTAGGCTGCAAGACAGAGGACACTTTAGAACCGAGACGTTCTAGAACCGCCTGATTTTTTCGGTAATTTTCAGGTCAACTCAAAGCGGGAAATTCAAATTTCCAGGTTTCAAAAAGCTAATTTCTTCCTAGAACCTTGAATTCCGAAGTTTTCGAACTAAATTTTAAAGTGGACGTTTTAGAACCGAGACGTTCTAGAACCGCTTAATTTTCGGTAATTTCTAGACCAATTTCGGGCGGGAACTTCAAACATCTAGGTTTCAAAATTCAGTTTATCGAGGAAACTGAAAAAAAACTGACTTCAAAAATAGATCATTTTGAAACCGAGACGTTCTAGAACCAACTGATTTTTCGGTCGTTTCTAGGTCAATTCGGCGCGGGAAATTCAAATTTCCAGGTTTCAAAATTCAGTTTATCAAGGAAACTGTTATAAATAAGCTGGAAAATATGCCATTTTAGAACCGAGACGATCTAGAACCGCTTGATTTTTTGATTGTTTCTAAGTCGATTTTGGGCGGGAAATTCAAATTTCCGGGTTTCAAAACTCACAATTCCACGTATGATTCCGAGAAGTCGAGTGTACGAGACTCGTCAATCCAGGATAGGCGGCCAGTGTGACGATGAGGACGACAGAGATGGTGGTTAGATCGATGGCAGACTAAAAAATGAGGCTAGAGTTTTCTAGGCCACGGCCACTTTAAAGGTGAGCTCATTTTTTGAATTTGGCGCCAAAATGCGGGTGTCCCAGAGGAAGGGAAACACGGCGTTTTTTCCTGAAAGCCTATAATTTTAAACAAACAACAAAAAAATTTCAGCCAGAAAAGTGCTGAAATTGGCGAAAATGGGTGAAAATTGCAAATGTTTGGCTGAATTTTTTTTTTCAAAATTTGTTTTGTTTTTTGTTTAAAATTATAGGCAAAAACGCCTTGCTTCCCTTCCTCTGGGACACCCGCATTTTGGCGCCAAATTCAAAAAATTTGGGTGCCCCCCGCCCCCAGCTAAGGTAGCGCCAAAATTAGAATTTCAGCGATTTCTCGGGATTTTTTGAGGAGAAATCTAGAATTTTGAGTTTTATCGAATTTTGGCCATTTTTAGAGAGAGAAAATCGGCAAAATCAGGCAAAAATTTTGAAATTTTTGAGCCAATTTTTTTTACAATTTTCTGCCGATTTTTCATTTTTTTTAAAGACGAAAAAATCGAATTTTAGGTGTAGAAATACCCAAAAAAATTGCTAAAATCACAAAAAATCATTTGCAGTCCGCGAAGAGGGTCCACCCGAACTGCAGGCGAATTTCGAGGCGTATCTAACCCCCATCCAACTACGTTAGCGCTCGAATTTTTCGAATTTCTAAGGTGGCCGTGGCCTAGAAAGCTCCAATTGTCAGCAAAAAAAGCTCTAACCTTCTTAATAATATCCGTATACATTGTCCAATTCTGAGCACTTTCTTCATGATTTTCACTTGAAATCTCCGAATCAATGGGTGGAAAATGGCTAGCCTGTGTCTCAATGCTCACTTCATTATCCCCATCATCGAACCCTTGTACGTCTTCATTTTCAATCAATCCATCGACGTCTTCTAGCTCAATTGGAGGCGTCAACGTCGTCAGATAGTAATACGTGGCGAGACTAATGAAACACATCAGGAGACTGAATCCGAAGTATAGCCGACCGTTCAGAATGACATCCGATGTTACTGCTTGGCATAGGATTGACATTAGGGCGGCGAGCACGCCAGCGAACGATTGGCCAATCATCACGGCTTGCGTCTGGAAGGGCGGGAAATTTGAATTTTTATGTAAAAAAAGCTCAAAATAGCGGAATTTTTTCGTCATTTTGAAGTGGTGGCCTAACTTTTACAAATTTGGTTTTCTAGGCCTCCACA